CCGCCAGCTTGCACAGGCCGAGAGGGGGACTCGCCCCTTCGCAGGCAGCTCGGTAAGATAGAGCCGGCTCTCTGCCGCCCCCTGGAGGGCGTGCGCGGCCCAGAGGCGGAAGACACCACGTGATTTCTGGGAACTAGGAAAGAGGAGAAGAAACGGGGCAGGAGGGGCGGGCCGGAGGGAGAACTGGGGGGGCAGGGCGCCAGCTGGCTGCGCGGAGTTGCGAGCTGCCGGGCTGGGCATCAGAGAGCAGGAAGAAGAGGAAGAAGAAGAAGGAGGGAACCGAGGAGCGCGGCCAGGTGCAATTTTCCTTTCCTTTTTCCTCCTCTTTCCCCTTTTCTCATCTGTTCTCTCCAGCCCGTGTTAAACTCCCTTCTTTGTCGGTTTATTTCTTTTTTTTTTTTATGCAAATAGGCATAACCCGCCCGATCTCTGTCTTTCAGGACAGGGTGCCATCCGCCTGCTGTCGCTGTCTCTGTTGTTCTTCCTCCTCCTCCTCCTCCTCCTCTTCTCCTTCTTCTCCTCCCCTTCCTCTTCCTCTTCTTCTCCTCCTTCTTCTTCTTCTCCTTCTTCTCCTCCCCTTCCTCTTCCTCTTCTTCTTCTTCTCCTTCTCCTTCTCCTCCCCCCCTTCTTCTCCTCCTCCTCCTCTTCTACTTCTTCTCCTCCCCTTCCCCTTCCCCTTCCCCTTCCCCTTCCTCTTCCTCTTCCTCTCCTCCTCCTCCTCCAAAAAGGCATCCAAACCTGGGTCCCTTCCCCCCCCCCAAGATATTGTGCGACCGGCACCCATCATCCCCGCTTGGCCAGGTAATCCAACCCGTCTGGAGGGCCAAAGGTTTATAGATAGTTGGCTTCCTCGGCTTCCATCACTTGCTCCTGGCTCAAGGGACGGGCAAGTCGGGGAAGGACTTTGCAGAAGAGATGTGGCAGCCTCCGTTGCAGTCTTTTCTTCCTCTACATTGTTTTATCACTGCTGAGTCTACAGCAGGGTTAGGGTTAGGGGCTGGGGAATTGCTGGGAGTTGAAGTCCCCCCACCTTAAAGTTGCTGAGGTCGAGGAACCCCGGTCTACAGGACTGTAGTCCCCCCACTCCATCCCCCCACGTCCTCCTGCAGGGCTCCTCCTGAACGCCTCTCTCTTATGGATTGATTTTATTTGTTTGTTTGTTTATTATTACATTTGTATGTCGCCCATTTTATGTATTTATTTGCTCAGTTTGTACAACCGCCTCTCTTGCATATGGGACTCTCTCTTATCTTCACACCTAATTCTCTGCGGTTACTGCAAGTTCAACAAAGAAACGCTTTTGGGGGTTTTGTGTTTTTTTTGCACTGAAACTTCCTTGTGCTGCCGGAACCGACGCAGCGGCTTCTTTATCTGTTTGGCTCAAGCGGAGATTTCTCTTTGCTTGCTCGCTCCTGATGCTGTTTCCAACCCTGAGTTTTGTAAGAGTGGGCTTCCTGCCTGCTCGTCACTCAGGCTTCATCAAAACTTAACTCATTCATTGACAGGGTTTTTTGTCTTAAAAAAGGATCCGTATTAAACACGATGTATACGTAGGGCAGATCAGTGCTTAATTTTAAGTTAGATTGTTTTTTAATCCATGCAATGAACAGCATTGAGGGTAAGTTATGAATCCTTCTCAGTGGGGAAGGTTTAGAAGCTCTTCTGAGACATTTGCCCATTCTAAGATTCTGCTGTAAAAGGTTGGGAGATTATTCCTAATTCTGCTTTCACAAAATTGGGAAAAAAAGAAGAAGTTATCAATGGTCTTTCCTTCTGCTAATATCTGGGAGTTTTTTCTGGAAACCTCTGTACAGGTAGTCCTCATTTAGCAACTGCCTTGTTTGTTTATTTTATTTATTTATTTATACATCACATCGACATAGCTGCCCATCTCACACAAAGCGACTCTGGGTGGTTTAGCGACCGTTCACAGTTCTGATGGTGATGAAAAAGTAACTTTGCAACCAGTCCTCTCATTTACGACATTTGCAGGTCAGTAAAGCAAAGGAAAGCTGAAAGAAGATCGACAGCACAGTCGCAGTTTTACTTAGCAACTGCTTCCCTTAACAACCAAGTTACCGGTCCCAATTGTGGTCGCTAAATGAGGACTACTTGTTTTTGCTTTCTGGATGGCCCTTACTAGTCCAAATTGTGGACAATCGAAGATTGAAGTTTGGTGAGAAATCTGCAAATAATTATTGTCTCTTTGCCTCTTCTCTAAGATGGCAACATCCAAGCGAGGTATGCGATCCACCCGGAAGCTGCGCGAGTGGATTGTGGAGCAGGTAGAGAGCGGGAAGTTTCCTGGCGTGGTCTGGGATGACCCCCCAGCCAAAACTATGTTCCGTATCCCGTGGAAACATGCCGGAAAGCAGGAGTTCCGCCTTGAAGAAGATGCTGGTATTTTCAAGGTGCAGTACTTGCAAGTTGTACACAAATGGGACATTTTGGAATTTGTAGGGAGCAACCTAGCCAGAAACAAGCCTAAAATCTGTCTTGGGGTTCTGGCCCGTGCCCGTATGACATTCAGCTTCTTCCTTTCCTGTTTGCTGGATCACGATCATGGGCGCAGGATGTAACAGCTCCGAATTCTGCCGTTGCGTGGTGCAAACGGGAGAGACGTTGTATGGATTGTGCCCGTGCCACAAGCTCAGTGCGTGTCGCCTGGAGCTGGGGTGAAGTCGCCTCCTTGCAATATTCCGGTATTGGATTTGAGATGCAGGAATTCAGTGGTGGATATGTAAGGCTGGGTTGCCCTGGAGGAGCGTGTGATAAGCGTGCAAACTGCGCTCTTGAGGTCCCCACTTACTGTTGGAAGCCAGCCTGGGGTTTCCCCCGGGTTCCCTGGCAGATTAAATTGTTAGTCTTTGCAGATCTGCGTTGGTGAAAACCTCTACCAATTGCCAGAGACCCAGAGTTGTGAGCAAGGTCTGCCTGTGTGTCCATTCCTCTCCCAACGGTCTAGTCTGTTTCGTTCATGATTCCCCCCCCAAACCCAACAAACGAAAGAAGGTCTAAACTAGGCTTGTTCATACTTTGTTCCGAGAACTTGATGGTGGCTCCTTGAGAGATTAAGGGCAAAGTAAGAAGTTCCCTTGAACGTTGTTAATGTTCTATCCCTGGAGTTTTGCCTCTTGATCAGGGGTTCCAGGAAATATTGTTTTTTAACGAACGGGTTTCTGTTCCTAGGCGTGGGCCATCTTTAAAGAAAAGTACAGCCCCGGGGAACGCAACCCGGCTGTTTGGAAGACACGCCTCCGCTGCGCTTTGAGCAAAAGCCCCGAGTTCGAGGAGATGCCAGCACGTTCCCGGCTGGATATCACGGAGCCTTTCAAAGTGTATCGCTTGGTACCAGTCGCAGAGCAGGCTGTGGGTAAGGAGATGAGCTGAATTTTCTTTTCAAAATCTTCCTTCCCTGTTAGAAAGTCTCTCGTCTGTTTTTGCTGAGCTGTGCGGGACTACAGTTCTCATCACCCCCAGCCAGCATGGTCCTGGGGAATGCGTCTTGGGGATGATGGGGCTTGTACAGGAACATGTCTTTGGGGGCAGGTTGGAAAAGTTGGATGTAGGGAACTCCTACTAAGGGCTTGAATGTCACTCACCCAATATGCCCAAATTCTCCATCAGTTGATCCTGTTTAACTTGCAGAATTTGGACATTATTAATTTCAGTGGTATCTTACTTTCCTTCCAGCAAGCTTGGTTGGCCTCCATTGATGCTTGTTACTTTTCCCCTTGCAACAACCTTCCAAGTAGGCGAGGCTAAGAAAGAAAGCAGCATGAAGGAAGATTTGAACCCAGGCCTCCCCAGCACAAGCCCGGACACACTGAATTTCTTTCTCTCAGCTTCCTCAAGGGCTGCACCACCTTGTTGCAATGGGTCAAGTGTTGCATTCCAGAAATAGGAGCCATTTCAGGGGAGAGGTTTTAAGGCAGTGTTTTCCAAACTTGGCAACTTTAAGATGTGTGGACTTCAATTCCCAGAATTCCCCAGCCAGCCATGC